TCTTCTACAAGAAATTAAGTGAATGCTTTCTTGAATGTTAATAATGATATAAAATGCTTGTGTACATCCTATATATATATATACAACTAATTACTCATGTCACTACAAAATATACAAAAATTAAACTTCCTTAAATTTGTTCTTGATGTTTATTTATAGTGTATTTATATAATTATCCAATATTTGTCTTGTTATACTGAAGTATTGTTAAGAAAATGTCGTTCGTTGAAACAAATGTGCAAACAAGTTACATTCTGCACAGATAGCAATTTTTGTGGAGAACCTATCAACATATATTTTCAATCGTTGGGATGTAATGTTAGGCAAACAGTAGGAGAATTATACTTGTTAACAAATGTATTTTATCGATCAAATTTCAAATAGATGATTTAATAAGAAAGCAATGACAAATTTAACTAGAAGTATGGTCCATTGATTTATCACCATGGTGTGTGAGCTTTTGTGAACTTGATACTGAACTAGTAAGTTTGAAATATTGAAGTAAAGAAAAGTGCAGCCCAAAAATTTATCCTGTACCTGATTTAAAATGAGTCCCAGCATCAATACTTGGAAGTTGCCACACTTTTCATGAGTATAAGAATTATTGGATATATATGCCTCAGTAACAGATCTATACTGGTACATGTAAACGAATGGCATATTCAGTCGAAGCATTGTCCCTTTTTCGATACCCCCTGGATCCCTGTAAAATATATATGATGATAAAAGTAGATAAATGTTTCATCATAGAATGATGAATGTCCTATGGACCCAGTGAGGGTCTGTTGGAAGACACTGTTTGATTGTTCTAGCTGTGTCTGTCTCTTAATTGTAAGAGTACTAGTATTTTGGAATGGGGTCATAAGGCTTTACAGTTAATATAAATTGATTGTACATGTGTGTTGCTTAACGTCCTACAGTTAATATTGAAAATGAGTATATACATCCCTGTGTAAATTAAAAAAGGAATGTTGGACATTTTTATTTCTGAACTATTAACAAATTAAAGAAAAACATTATATCAGGATTATGTTTAATCGACCCTGTATTCCCGTGATTGACGAATTTGGTCACAAGCATTTTGTATTTGTTTTAATTAAATTTGCATTCTGTATCCCGACTTCAGCTGCCCCTGATCTAAATCCAGGCACGTAGCAACAAGAGGGGGGGGGGGGGGCGCAACAATACCTCTTCTATAGAGAATGTGCATTGAATGGTTTGTTGCTCCCCCCCCCCCCCCCAATTTTTACCACAGTATAGAATAACAGTATAGTGATATCATGGAAATTAATGTAGTATTTTATGCTATAAAAATTGGAAGTGAAAGGAATTTGGTCTTGAAAAAAATTGGCCACTAACAACCCCCCCCCCCTCCTGAAATAGGATTATCGAGTTTGGTCAACTTTTACTGGTAAGTAAAAAAAAATCTCTCTAGTTGCGCCCCCCCTCCCATCCCGACCCCTTTCAAACACGATGCTATGTACCTGAAATCAATATATGGAACCAATCTTTGGAGAAAAATTTAGTTTGGAAACAATTTCAACTTACTTTTATGCTATAAAATGCTCGTTACCCATTTGGAATAGCTTGAATGTACTGTATGTACGTAATTTACTAAAACAATAAAGCGATTAAACGTTTTCTCCTCAAAAAACGAACGACTTAACAAACATTACTTCCTGTTTCGCTTTCGTTTTCAACGGGAGAATTAATTATGTTATTTTAAGGGTGATTTGAAAAGAGATATCTCTTTCATTAAAAGAGATATCTCTTTAGCTTAGAAAGATATCTCTTTTTGAAAATCTATAGAGATATCTCTCTAACTAATAGAGATATCTCTTTTAAACTTGTTAAAGAGATATCTCCCTAACTTTAAGAGATATCTCTCTCGCTGAAAGAGGTATCTCTCTAGCTTATAAAGATATCTCTCTTACAAAAAGAGATATCTCTCTAACAAAAAGAGATATCTCTCTATCAAAAAGAGATATCTCTTTTGTTTAAAGAGATATCTCTATTAGTCAAAGAGATATCTCTATAGGCTAAAGAGATATCTCTAAAATTGAAAGAAAAATTTATTTTACGAATAAATAGTAAAAGGGCTTGCCATAGGGTACCCATCTTTTATCCGCAACTCCTCTCGCTCATACCAATGAATAAAATCATTAATGATACTTGCACATATTCTTTATTACAGAATGTTATTGTGCACCCTATTTTACTTTTTGATCCGAAACGTAGCTCAGGTCTTACAGAACAGAACGTGGCCATTATATTGAATGAGAAGGGGGGAGGGGTATCATTTAGTGAGCTCAGTGCTCACAGTACCTCTAGTACGTTTTGTTCCGACACATATTTTTGGGTTTCTCATAGCAAAACATGGACACTGCCATTCTTTCTATAATCATGTTTGTGCAACTGTCTTATCCTTAGATGTAAGTGAGTTTGTATATGTGATCGACTCAATATACAGTGAGGTTGCCGATATCGAATCACTTAGTAAATTTGCTTGGATATTTCGTACCTGAGTTTGAGTTAAATTCATTTTACAACATTGTTTGGTGGCACCATGTTTTACTTATAACATCATATATATTTTCCCAATAACCACTGATTAAATAAAAAATTACCGCTGTTCTTGTATGAATGATGTTTTCTCCTTTAGCGGATCGTTTTCTCCATTACCGAATCACGTGACATAAAGCTGATTATTCTGGTTCAAGACCGTGTAAATTTAAAAATACCCTTCTTACGTAACGTTTTACTATGCCTTAATATTTCATTCACCCCCCCCCCCCCAAAAAAAAAAGTAGAAAAGCTAGGAATTTTTTGAGTTGTTTGCATCCAACAATTAATGCAAAAACAACAACAATGAAATCATAGGGAAAGCAAATGACTAGTTGATATAAGAGGATGTAAAAACATATGTGATGAACTGCAAACAGCCGAAGAATTAATTTTTGATTCAGGAAGAGAGAATGTTTAAATTGTACATTTATGTATGTTGAAATGCCCCTCAGGGCCCTTGATTGGTAAATAAAATATCTTGTATCTTGTACTCATTGAGCTACCACGCCCCCTCCCCATAATTTTGCCGCTATTTAGATAGAAAATATATCGCTAGATATATGATTGCGTCCCCTAAAAAAAAACCGTCCGATGACCCTTTTTATGCTTGATTAATTAATTGTCAAGGAATTTTGGTGGTTGATAGTGCCTCCTCGACTGAAAATGTATGGCTCTGCACCCCTCCCCCACCAACTGAAATTGCTTCCTACGAGCCTGGCTTCAGAGATAGCTAAAGCTGAAAGGAACAATTATATTTTCAAAATGTCGAGACCCAACACCTAAATTTCCTCCAATGAGCAGAGACAACTTTACAAATAATGATGTTGGGATTTATTTGCTGGATTTCTCCATTCCAACATCCACAGTAGACTAAATACCAGTATTCTGATTTATTAAATACTGGAGGTTGTCCTTTCACTTTATATGGGTCTACTTCAACTGTCCATCGTCTCTATAGAAATGAATAAGATAGCTCATTCTCCTCTGCTGCTTTCATAGTGCTCTTTCTTCCTTTTACGTGAAGACAGTGGTGGCATATATTCCATATAGGCAAAAGGCTGCAGTCTGCACATCATTTTCTCAATGTGTAATTTAAATCAAATGTTTACTAACTAGAATATGTTGAAAAAGAGGGGGGGGATCATAAAACTCTGTTTATAATTTATTTAGCTTGATGTTGAATTGAAAAAGTATTGTTAGCAATATGCATTTTATATTATACGAGTTTGATCTTGATCATGACAAGAAATAAAAATTGATTATTTGAAATAATTTTTTAGGGAATCGGAAAACTGCAAACAGGTATTGTTGGAAATAATGATTTAGTAGGGAAGTTTAAATCGCAAAGGGATAAATAAATAAAATTTCTAAATCTTAATTTTGTTTGGTAATCATGACGATTTTTATTTCGCTATCGTCGATGTCTTCACATTACCTTACATGCACATATACCACCGGGAGACATTCTCGAATCCACATGCTCTGCACTTCTTACTGAATTTGGCTGCTGATTTTGTTTATGTGTATTTTAACCACCTTTATTGTACGCTTTTGGTAGACATCTTCTTTTGTTGTTTTTTATTGTAACTGGTGTGCAAAAAACCGCATACGAAAAATTATAATTTGGACAGGATCCCTGCATCTCATATTTCTTGAAACAGCGATTCGTTATTGGAAACCTAAATACCCCCAACTTTAAAGCGAATACTATTAATTTCTGATTTAGAAATTGTATGACGCTTTCAGTGCTTTTAGACACATAATTTTATTAAACATGTGCACTAAATTTGTTTACCTAGAATGTACGATTCACATTGGAGCGGTACCGAAAAGTGAAAGTAGTCTGCTTGCATGTACGCTTCTGGTCTGCGTCACAAAAAAGCTTGTTCATGTTTATTTAAAAATTAGGACATTGAACGAGTTGAATTTAACATAGGCGCTCCCCATGTAATTCTGTAAATGACGTATGATAAGTATATATAGGTCTACCCCTCTATTTTATAGTATAGAGGGGTAGACCTATATATACTTATCATACGTCATTTACAGAATTACATGGGGAGCGCCTATGGAATTTAATAATTTCATGATAAATGATAAAAGCAAGAATAATTCAGCATGACAGGGTAGGTTAAGCTAAGTATTGGACTTTGATAAGAAAAATACAGAATTTTCATCTGAAAGTGATTCGTTAACGGGTGCGATTCGTTATTGGCAACCTCACTGTACGAAAATTTTCAGTCTGGGCTTTTCAATTTCTTTGTAAAATTCAGTTTGATTTAAATTGCATTTGTGAAATTATTATTTTGGACTTATAATAAACTCTGAAGCCGCATAATCATACGGCAACATTTCCTTCGGGTGGCTAAACCTATTTTAATCATCGTATTTTAGCCCCAAATCCATCCTTGTATAATAATCTCGGGTTCGATGTGTCATAATAATTCTCGGGATCGGGTTTAGTTTCACAAGTCAACAAACAACATGGACGGAAGTTTGGCGCCAGTTGAAAAATCAAGTGAAGATGTGTTATCTATGGTTGACGTCCTAAAGGAGGAAGCTGAACTAGAAGATGAGGCTAATGCGGTACTAGGAGACAGTGATGATCAGAACTGCACTTATCCACGTGTAGGTGTTGTCTTTGAAATAGGAATTGTCAATTGAATTGTGTGTGAAATTCTGCTGACGTTTCCTTTCATGGTCTTTTGTGAAAAAAAAATGTTATTTCATGTCTTAGATAACAGATATGCAGTTGTTTAGAGTTTCTAGCCATGCGTATTTAATACTTTTTATATGTTTAGTAGAGTTAAATGAGAATTCATTTTTCAGATTGATTTAAAAAGATTGTCGACTATTATCATTCATTTCATTATAAACTATAAATAACTTTCTGGTTTGCTTTCATTTAAGGGTTATGTATCCCGACAGGCTTTGTACGCCTGTGCTACTTGTGCACCAGCAAGTCCAGCAGGAGTGTGTTTGGCTTGCAGTCTTGAATGCCACGAGGGGCATGAGCTATTTGAATTATATACAAAAAGGTATATCTGAAAGTTTTTGATTTTGACAATATCTCCAACGTAAGGCTAGCCTTTTAGGTGAAAAAAGTAAATCAGTCTAAGGTTATCCATTGCTATTTCTTGTCTGTTTGAACTAAATTCAGAGTTCTTGAAATCTTTTGGTCCTGTCGGCAAGACCGATAAAAACAACTCAGGACCGATTACTTTAGGTTCTGTGTCAGTCCAAATGACCGTTAGATGTTGACAGAGCAGCTTGCAAAAATCTGACTAAATTGCTTTTCTGTATGACTTCTTCAATGAACGCAAGTGCCAAATTATGATTGATAAACAAGTTTGGTGACAGTGCTAAGGGTAAGCTAGATGAGAAAACTGAACTAGATTAAAAACTTATAAAAAGAAAATCCACCCCAAGGAGAATTCAATGAAAATTGTTATACAACGAACAAATCGGCATGAAGTGTGCATCTATGCAGGATGCAAAATGTATTGAAAATAAAATTTATATACAGTTTTCATATTTTTATGATTTTTTTTTGACTGACAGAGATCTAGGTATCTGGACTGACAAACTTTACATTTGCAGTCAGTCCAAATGACTGACAGCGGAAAAAAGATTTCAAGAACTCTGTAAACTCTTTGAATTTTCGCTTCACCAGTCTGGTAGAACCCCTAAATGGGGATAAACCAGTCTACGCGAAAGTTAAAAATTTTTACAGGACAAAATGTCTGGTAAAAATAAATTTTTTACCAGACCAAGCACTTTCTTACCAGACCGACTTTTTTCCTTTAAATCCATACATCATTATGATACTGAGATTGAGAGGGTGGGTGGGATGAGGTTAATTCTCACTGTGAAATTTAACCCTTAAATAAATTCAGAGTGAAATGGACAAGTTAACTATATTTATAATTTTCCTTTGTAAAAGGTATCTATTTATACAATTGCATGCATTTTTACCTTCATATTTGACTTATACAACATACACTGTATCAAATATTTTCTTAAATCTAATATGCACTTTCAATGCATATTTATTTTTCCTGAAACAACTCATTATGGTTACTCAAGTTCAATGATCATTTGAAAAAAATTCCCAACCGAATCTACATATGAGCTATCTAAATATTTTCCCAACTAAATCTACGTATGAGCTATCTAAAGATCTCTAACCCTTGACAGAGGAAATTCGAGTTAGAATAAAAACGATCATGACAGGGTTGTAATACATAAAAATTAATCAGGTATTACTGCTAAATTGGTCAAATAAATGATATTTGTGGGGAACTGGACCATGTGTACCTCTTAATTTAGATTTATTTGGCCTTATTTTTTACCGGACATTTGGTCCTGTATTCTGAAATTTTTTACCGACCCGACCTAAATTTTACCGGTAAAAACCGACGGTCCGGTGACTTTTGCATAGACTGATAAACAGGAATAGGAAAACAATACAAAAAATGGGGAGTACAAACATGTGCAGATGCTTAAAAATTTGCATATTTCATGCTTATAGTAGAGGTTTACAAAAAACGTTGGCGCAAAGGAATGGATCATTTTTCAAATTTGTAAAACCACTCATAAATGATAGATAAGATTAAAGGTGTTTTAAGAGTTTGTGTTTGTATTTTACAAAAATACAACTTTCTTGTAAGAAAATCAGTGCAAAAATTGGCAGACCTTTCTGCCGGTTGGGGTTACAGATTAAGGATAAAACCAGAGACCTAGGAATGGAATACTCGGAAGCCTCTGGTTTTATCCTAAATCTATATCCCCAACCGGAAGTAAACCTTTCTATTTAATTATCATGTGATTAATATTGCAGATTAATAAAACTTGATGTGTTGAAGTTAACAGGAGGAATGCACTGTCCAGTGTAACTGTAAAATTTAATCAAAGTAATGCTAATTCAGTTGCCAAAAGAATTTTACAGTATCATTTTAATGCATAAAAATAGATTTAATCAACTGGTATAAAAGGGTTTTTTAAAAATCTTAATCGTAGGTGCATGAAGTTTGAGGGAGAATAGAATTTTACCTAAATTTTATGTCGTAGGTTAGTCCTTGATTTGTTTCTTGTTCATTATTTTCAGTAGACATTGATTATTAATACCTCTAGTTGCTATCCCTAAATTGCAAAAAAAAAAGAAATAATAATAAAAACTAGAGCAAAGCTCATTGCAAAGCAACTAGTATGTCTTCCATCCTATTTGAGCGGAAGTAACTTTCATTTAAAAAAATGAGTGATGAAGTCCAAAAATGGTTTAAATCCTCCAAAACTATGTTAATTGATGCAAAAATAAGCCATATTTGCTACTTCCAGTTTGACTGGAAGTGACGACGACGGACGGAAAATAAAGTTTTATGCTCCCAGTGACAGATATTACCCAAAAACTTGTCAAGAACGGCAAAAATACGCATTTTCTGACTACTTCCGGTTTGACCGGAAGGGATGTCACCAGACGGTTTTTAACGACCCCAATAGATTTAGCTTGATGTTTTGAACAACTTTGCTTCTTTAATGTTTAACAAATTCTCAATACTTTAAAAGATATCAGGAAAAAACTTCTGGCCCCTCTAGATCCCTTATTTTAGGGGCCAGCCCTTTTTTCGAGATATCATTTGATAGATCTTGAAATTCTACACTTCCTTTGTTCTATATGTATTAACAAAATATTTCCAGGTAAAACGATATCGTAGAAAAGGTGTTAGAAATTTTGAAATTTGCGATATCATAATGACATTTTTCGGGCCATAGCAAACGCCGACATGTGGCACTTGGTAAAAATGAACTTCCTAGTATAAATTTACATTCCTTGCTCTATCATCACTGAAAATCTCATGTTCCTGTGCTAAGTGTTTTTCTAAGAAGTGCTGCGGACAAAATTACCCTCTAAAATCGCTAAATCTCGAAAATCTCTAATCCGGAAGTGACGTCATCAAAATAATAAATTATATATCTAGTATTTTAAATTGTCTTCCTGACCTGAAAGTTTCATGAAAATCGATCAAGCCATTTCAGAGAAATCGCGTGCACAAAATTGGTAGGAAAAAACAAACAATAATAAATATAGTGGAAAAGAAACCTAAGAATAACGGTAAGGTCTTCCACTGAAGACGGAAGACCTTAACAAAACAAAAAGCCTGCTTATCGTCACCATCAATATTTTGATAATAACTTGTTCATGTAGTTTGTAAATAATTTTAAATCTTATTTCCAGGAATTTCCGCTGTGATTGTGGAAACAGTAAATTTCCAGGAACAGCTTGCAAGTTATATTCTGTAAGTTGTGTTTATTACAGGTGACTTAAATTCTCATTTCCAATGAATACTGAAAACCAATCTTTTATCCTAATAACTTAAATTCATAATTTGTCATTTTGAAATTTTTGGCGATTACCGTTACTAGTTTTTGAGACCCAAAAATTATTTTACAATAACTGCAGCAGGAAAAGCTAGCTAAACATCCATACAACACATATATACTCCAAATAAAAAGTGCATTTATTTTTGGATTGTAGGAGAAAGATGCTACAAATTCACAGAACGTTTACAATCAGAACTTTAAGGGACTTTACTGTATTTGTCATCGACCATATCCTGACCCAGAAGATGAGGTATTTATAAGCTTTTATCATATACTTAGTCCTAAATACACCGATTCTGCACGGTGCAGTACAGGTGAAGTCACAATACCCCATATCAAGGACCGGTCCGAAAATCCATATCACGTCTCAGACCATCGGGCAGAAAATCCATATCAAACCGGAAGTAACTTTTGTATAAAGTTTAAAGGTTAATTTACTTTATTTATTTAAATATTCATATAAAATAATTCTTTAATGACTTTTGTGGTCTTAATTTTTTTCAGTTACCTAACAGTGCCTAGAATTAGCTCTATTAGATTTTATAGAAAAAGGCACAGGCACTTGTTTTGTATACGGGGTACCCCTACTTATATTTACCACAAGGTACCTAACTCAATTTCAGGCACCCCCGCTTCAAGTTCGTATTTTGTTAATATATTAATCATTAACCTACTTTAAAATGACATCGTTCGCTTCAAAAGACTCTATTCTTGTCAATTAAATCATTTCAGAAGTCTCTGGTCGAACCTCTTTATTATAAACCACTCATTTATTCCTCAAAAATTACCTCGATACAAAGTAAGACATCTTATAAGATACATTTACTTCCGGTTGGGGTTATAGATTTAGGATAAAACCAGAGGCTTCCGAGTATTCCATTCCGAGGTCTCTGGTTTTATCCTTAATCTGTAACCCCAACCGGAACTACTTGTATCTCAAGGAAAGTCTTAAAATGTATTCGAGGAATAAATGCGTAGTTTATAATAAAGAAGCTCGACCAGAGACGTCTAAAACATTGTTATTGACAAGTAAAATCCCTTGAAGCGAACGATGTCATTTAAAAGTATGTTAATGATTGATTTATTAACAAAATACAAATTTGAAGTGGGGGTGCCTGAAAATGAGGTACCTTGTGGTAAATATAAGTAGGGGGTACCCCGTATACGAAACAAGTGCCTGTGGAAAAAGGTCATAAACAGAGAAGAAACGTTCTTCAATGACCATATTTGAACTTGCATATTAAGTATTTTAAATATATGATAAATAGAATACTACATACTAAAATCCATATCATACATGTATGTCACAGCAGGGCTTTCATGGATTTTAGTATGCAATATTCTCTATACTGTATAATAGACAAGGTTTTGTAAGCTGACTATATACATGTATTGGACAAGGTTTTCTAAGCTGACTGTATATTGGAGAAGGTTTTCTAAGCTGACTGTGTATTGGACGTGATTTTGTAAGCTTATTTTATTAGGTCACCTGAGTCACTCAGGTGACCTATTGCTATCCGTTTTTGTCTGTCGTTGTCCGTTGTGCGTCGTGTGTTAACATTTGCACATTTTCAGCTTCCTCTCTGAAACCACTGAACCAATTTCAACCAAATTTGGTATACAGCATTTATGGGTGAAGGGGAACAAAAATTATGAATTTTATGGTCCCTGCCCCTGGGCCTGAGGGGTGGGGCCAAAACCACTAAAATTAATGAAATCTTTAAAAATCTTCTTCTTTACTCCTGGACATCAAGCAGGCAAACTGTTGGTATGAATGTAATGGGCATTGAGTCCTCTACCAAAATTTTGAAATTCATGACCCCAGGGTCAGGGGTTCTAGTGCTTGGGTGGGGCTATATAGATTATATAGTGAAAATGCATTATTTCTTTGAAAATCTTCTTCTCTGTTCCTGCATATTGAATAAACTAACTAAGTACATAGTTATGATGAGCAAGAGTGCTTCTTCCAAAATTGTGAATTTTATTGCCCCAGGGTTAGGGGTTCTGTTGTTAGGGTGGGGCCCTATTGATTATATAGTGAAAATGCATTAATTAGGGCCCCGCAAGGATTTGCGGGTGCCCTATAGTAATCACTCTGTCCGTCCGTCTGTCTGTCTGTCTGTCAGTCTGTCACTCTTCCGTCCACAAATTTTCTGTTTTTTTCTAATAACTTTTTTTATGGTTGCCCAATCAAGTTCAAATTTGGTATGGTAGTTCAGTAGGCAGAAATACATATTTTGATGCTAAGTTTGGTTCTGTATATCCCCTGGTTTGGAGCTGGGGTGGTGGGGTAGATTCCTTAACTATGCATAAGAATGAATGGGCAACTTTTTTTGTGGTTGCCGAATCAAGTACAAATTTGGCATGTTAGTTCAGTAGGCAGAAATACATATTTTGATGCTAAGTTTGGTTCTCTATGTCCCCTGGTTTGGAGCTGGGGTGGTGGGGTAGGTTCCTTAACTTAATATACGAAAGCATTGGCAAAGAGAGATAACTGCTGAAGATGTTCCCATTGTAAACTGAATGCTGCTATGAGTCCCTTGGGATTAATTAGCTATTCTCCTGAAGAAAATCCAGAGCATTATCTTTATCTGTCAAATTGAGATGAATTACCACCTCTGTAGATGCAAATGAAGTTTGTTTTGAAGTTAAGTCAATTTGGAATGCTATGAACACTCTGAAATGTGGATTTAAATATAAATTTTTATAATTTAATTTTGTTTAATAGTTATGATTTCATTGAATTCTAATAACAAGAAATAGATTAAAGAAGATTTTTGATTTACTTTTTTCACTTTATGTTAATTCAAGAATATTATTAATTTTTAGGATAGTTGTATAAAAACCCCATTCTATCATTAATACTGAAAAAGTTCTTATTGTAACTTAAAGAAAATGATGAGAGAGGTACAATTAATCCCTTGGGATTAATTATCTAGCCTGCTGCAGAAAATTTAGTAGGCTTTTCTTTATCTGTCACTTTAAGATTAATGAAAACCTTTGTCTGCAACTGCTGTTTGTTTGAAGTTAAGGTCAAGCCTTCATGATATTTGCATTCATTGAAGGCTGGCATTTCATATAACACAAGCTTCATAATTGTTTAAATATACATTCAATGTTAAGTTGTTCTTTACTGCCTAATGTAAATACAAGGATATTATTTTCAGGTTTTTGAATATTCAGGAATTATCTTGAAATTTTAAGAATACAGTTGCTGTTGCTTATTCTTCGTACATTTTTTAATTATTCCGTAAGCTGCACCCTATTAATTTTACCCTGTAACGGACCTGAGCTGCTTGGATCTCACGCACAAGTACTCCTTAGAAGCCTACGCGGGAATAACCCATGTAGTACTCTGATGATTAACGAGAATAACCCGTAATTAAAGATCTCCTATAATAACACAAGAATTACCTGTGTTTGGACTCATAAATAACTACGGGGAAGTTAAATGATAAGCCTTATTTAAAGTTCACAAATTTATTCAATGAATAAAAGTCACAATATGTGAATTAATTAGTATTCAATTACAATAAAATTCAATGGAAGTCGGGAATCACCCAAATTCACAATGAAATACTACACTAACACAACCTTCGTATTACGTTAATACAATAAAAGGGGGGGGGCGCACTAAACGAGAATGACCCGAATAGTGAGTAATAAATACTATAGAAATACCTTAGATCATAACCAAAGTATTTCTGAAAGAATCTACACAATCTATAAAAGCTATTTAAAGCAAGAAATTTATCTCAATAATTTCTATATCAAATCCTAGCCTTAATTCCTGCTTGAATATTCCTATAAACGCAACTAGATTATCACTTTAAATTGATTGAATTCCTAAATTCTATCAAAGATAAACAATTATTTACACGGAAAGACTTCAAGACTCACTTTCAGTCAAACCGTAACAAAATTATTTAATCGTTTAATATCGAGATTAACCCAATATAAACGTCCTACGATGAATACTAGTAATTAATAGTGATACGAGATTAACCCATAATCACTGTAAGAAAAATTGATGAATAAATTCAAAAATTACTTAATTCCTACTGAAAAATTCTAAGAATCTAATAAAACACCCTCTAACCTCAAAATCCTAACACCGAGTCCCACCGGCAATTCTTATCCTCTGTTTTTATAGCTCTGGAGAGTCTCCCCGGAGACCCACGCGCTTTCCTAGGGACGACCGGCAGATCTCCGGTACCACCGGCAGTCACCGGCAGCCACCGGCAATAATCATTGTCGAATAATGTTTAATAATAACAATAGATAATCCACATAAAAATATGACAATCATAATGTAAAACATTTATACAATATGACAATATTCCCTAAGTGTTAGATTTCGATAAAAATGCTTAGTACAGAGAAATTACAATTAGAATCGGGCGTGATATTCCACAAAATAATCAACATGATGGCGGTATCTATAAATAAAGTTACAGAGTTAGAAACGATATTTACAACAAATCTAGCGTATTACAATATTGATATTCATCCAGGATAATAAAATTATAATCATAAGATTATATTCTTCTAGATATGTAAGTACAGTGAGTAATTATAAGAAATTTAACCATTTATGCGATCTACAAATGGGGAAAAGTACAATGTACAAACAGGGTAACACGAATTCTATATAAAACAATCGGCATAATTGTCACAATCGTGACATTTTCCCCCTCTTAAAACTTTGGTGTCCTCACCAAAATCTTAAGATAAAAAAACAATTATATTTGTGTATACATTTCTCCATCAATAAATAAATTTCCATTTAAAAAAATGTACACTAGAGAAAGTCATATAATTCCCTCAGTTTCCCAATCCTAACATACTTCAATTGTTAGAATTTTTTCTTTTAATATAGAACAATAAAAACAAAATTTAAAAAATGCATATATCTAAACTCTGACCATACTTACACCACATTCTAAATAATTTTCTTCACTGTAGCTTTCAAAGTACGTTGGTCTGCTAGCCATTGTCAAAAGTCATGTACACGAATCTTCCAGCACCATCTTGAATTCGACTCGCCTTTGTGAAAGGTATATTACAGCCATTCGTAGAAATGAAACTGTCATTCAAATTGATAACTGCAGGCCCAAATTGACTGTCCAACAAGATGTCCATTCCTAAGAGGCATTCATCTTCTATTCCCGCAACAATTGTCTCCCTTTGAAATGCTAGATTTCCTAACTGCACTGCAAATTCAGTCTTCCCTAAGACCTTAAGTGGATC